CTATAAGTGTGTAAACTCAATCATTGAAGACACCCATATGATGTACTTCCTCAATGCACGGACACAAATTTCACTCAGCACTGTGAATATGCACTTCCTTGTGTGAAAGTTGTCACAGAGCCTGCCGCCTGAACTACAACTCAACATCTGAACAATGTAGCATCATCATTTCTTGCTGGAAGCAATGCATGATGGGCCATGTAGTCTTGAGAAACTGAGATCGGATCACATCAAGCAACAGGGAAAGAGACACAAAGCACACTGGGAATCCAAAAAGTTGGTGAAAGTGATAGGCAGATAGAAGGCATCAGACATATTGTGTTGTTCTTAGGCAGGACTTTTTCTTTTAAATATCTAAAATGCAGTACAGAGTCACTTGAACCCATGTATCCCGTGGCTGACTTGAGCAATTGAGCAAAACAAGTAGAGGGCAGTTGTTGTACACAAAACAAATAATGGCTGGCAGCCACCAGGCACACAAGTTAGTTTATTCAGGGAGACTTCTCGAAAGCAGGAGATGCTCGGGAGATGTACCGATAGAAGTCTATGGGGATTGACTCCCCAGGTGCAGTCAGCGGGAAGAAGTACCAGGCTGTTCAGATGTAAGCCCGCAGCAGGCAGCAGCTGCAAGAACCTGGCATGTATGCAACTGGTACAGGAAAGGATGGGTTAGTTGAAATGGAACTTTAGTGGAAATGTAAACATTTGCAAAACTTAATGTATTTTTTTTTCTATTATTGAAATTGCAATAGAGAACTAATATGTAGGGTAAATGGTAATGGTGTGGAGATATCAGAACAGTACATATAAGAATAAAAGTGGATACTTGAAGGAGATGCACATAACTATTGAGACTTTTTTAGACATTATTGGGCTGAGTTCACATGGGCGGACGCCTCTGCTACCCTCTGAAAAGTGATCCACAGTGGATTGCTTTTCAGAGGGCAGTAGCTCTCCAGCATTCAGGAAGCATTTTATATGTTCTTTTTGTTCTCTATAGGTTGAACTCGATGGACATGTGTCTTTTTTCAACCTGACTAACTATGTAACCCAGGAGGTGCTCACACTTACTTCCACCTCTTCAGGAGCTATCACGTACCTGATGGAGGCCGAGTGATGCGGGGTGTCCCTTGCACCTGCTGTCCAGCAATCCTTGGAATTGAGACAGGGTAAGCAGAAACTTGGAGAAGCAGGAGTGCCTGTAGTGGGCTCAGGTGCAGCCAGGAACATAGCCCTGAAGCATGCCAAGGGCAGAGATGGTACAAAGCAGCAACTAGGGAGCTTAGTCAGTATGCGAAGCTGGAGTCAGAAGCCAGGGTATAGAGATGTTGCAGAGTCAGAACAAGCCGGTGTCAAATCACAAGAGCCGCACACACAGTTCAGGTCACAGAAAGCAGAAGCTCACAACCACTTAGCAACTTCCCTTGCTGACGCTCAGGTTTAAATAGGCAGTCCGCACCCAATTAATTAGCCAAGTAATCCCAGGCACCATTGTATTTGCCAAGGTAGATCTTCAATGTGAACGTCTATGTGCATTCCTGCTGACATAGGTCCATGCTTGGTCTTGCGCATGCGCAATTCCATGTGCGTTACTGCATACACGATTTTCCTGACAGGAGCATTCCAAAAGCTATGACAACCGGGAAACTTTAATATGCACATTTCCAAGAGATGTCAAGAAATGAACAGTCCCCTGTCACCTTAGTTGTTTTCAGTGTTTTGAGTTGAATGGATGGCACTCCTTGTAAATACCATGCATGCATAGATTATCAGTCTGATTAGGTTATTTTAGAGAAATGCATAATAGGACACATATGACATCTTATGCCAACAGATTTCATTGAATAACAAACTGCCAGAATGACAGCTGTGGATAAACGATGTATGTAGTCCTTATACACATTTTTTTTTTCAGGCCATGAAGTGAATTTCAGCTCAGCTTGGATCATCTGTTTTAAATGGTCAAACATGTTAATATGTGGGCATGGATGGGTAATGTAAAAACAATTAAAACTCCACATAGTGTGATACCACTCAAAACATTCCATTTATTATAAAAAAAAAAAATTGCTGTCACATTTGGTGGTGCTCAAAGCTAGAACCAGTTACAATAAAGATGAGACTGTGTTATTTACAATAAGGAATCGTTTCCATCAACTTTAATAATTTGGGATCTGAATATACACATATTTTACATTCAATGCTACAAAGCAGAGTTCCATGACAACAGAAACAAAACTGAACTGCACGTATCAGAGCCTGCTTTAAATTGAATACAAAAATTTGTTACACACTGAGCTCATACAATTACTGAGGACATATCACATTCATATATGTCTGCACATCAGTATACAATCAGCTTCGGAATAATTACAAAGATTTAGTATTTATAAACAGCACAAGAAGTTTACATATGGTCACAATGAACTGAAAATATTTAATGAGATGTGGAAGGAGATTCTTTTAACCTGTTTTCCTTCACCTCCTGCTGAAAAATAACTGCTTACACAGCCCAGTAGCTCAAGCTGAGATTCACAAACATGAATAAGAGAACTAACTTGGTGTGGCAGTGACCTATACCTGATTAAATGGCTTCCTCCAAGGTTTCAGTAAGACAGCCATCCTAAAAGGAGATGATTACTGCTGTACTGTCTTTTTAGCCAACCAAAAGTGCTCTGGGAATCTTTTACCATACAATAAATGTTTATCTAAAAAAGAAAGATTGCATACTCATAGTAAAAAGAGACACATAACAGCACTTTAACAATGTATACACTTAAAAATCCTTTAAAACACATTGACCCTAAACCAATATAGTTTCTTTGTAAGTGTTGTAACCCACTCTGACCAATCGGAAACCATTTTAAACTGGCCTGCCTTCAGCAGAGTGGGTTCTAAATGGTTGCTGCTGGTTAGCACTAATAAGGATTGGTACTTAAGAATAATAACTCATTATGGAGTAAGACCATTGGTACCTATACACCGAATCAAGTTGTTGCACAATACAAGCAATTTAGAAGTAACTTTGTGACATTTTAACAAATGTTTAAAGTAATGGCTATTAAAAAAGATGACTCTGGAACACTGGTAAATGGTTTGGAAAATGTCATTTGTTTTCATATAGAGGGAGATTGACCACCATGCACATGAATATAGATGTACAAGGGATCTACTTGGCCCCAGAGGAATGCTAAGATGCTTCATTCACGGTAGTATTTGGAGCTGCACATTCTACCATACATTTTTTCACAGTTCCCTCTATTGCAGAAGACAAGGAACCGGCAGCAAAGTAAATATATCCTCCTGTCATCTTCAGTCATCACTGTGTCTTGATTACATAGAAAGATCTCTACTCATACAATGAGGACAAAAAGTGGACCTATACTGCACACAAAAAGTGGACCTATACTGTACTGTCCAAATCTGCTCATTGCCTTGTACTTATAAGAACTTATAAGAGGGAAACATAATAGGCAGACAGGAGTTTTGAGTCTAGGTTCTCATCTGACCATACACTGTCATGTGGGCTATTGTGTCAATGCCAATGTTTTTTTAAACGGTAATTCCACTTTCCACTGACCAATGAGAAGTGTTTCTGACTGCACTAATTAATGAGAAGTGCATCTTGCTAAGAGGTGCTTCTCATTAGTCAGTGCAGTCAGGGGACCACAGGGACCAATGAGTGCTTTCCATCTGCAAACAAAATTCAAAATCCAGAGCACAAGGCTGCGCTATACAGCAGTACAGAGAATGGATAGTAATCCAGCACCAACGGCAGGGCAGGAGACTTCACCCAAAGGTAAGCATTGCCAGTAGGGGGGAAGGGGGGCCAGATTGGAGGGGTCATTCCATTTTTCCCAAATTCACCTGGGAAAGTGGAGTTACCCTTTAAGGGAACTGCATAGATTAATGCACCAACACAGCATCTCCTGCAGGGGGTACAATAAAACAGTACTGAGAACTTTGACTCTGCAGATAGGCTGATTTCTGCAAAGATTAAAGTGACACTAAACTCAGGAGTTAAATCTTAAAAACACATACACAAGTATAAAAGTGTATATTATCTGTGCATCACTCAGCTGTAGATCCTCAAATCATCTCTGAATTCATGCTGACATTGTGTTTCCTTCTGGAGGGGGGCTACTTTTGTTCCCCATGGTCACTGTGTGTGTTGTAAAGTAGTCACCACTCCAAACTCGCTGGTAGACTACAATCTCAGGTTTAGTTTATTAATTTGTACTGAGATTGTAGTCCATCACAGGAGTGAGTTTGCAGCGGTGGTTACTTTACAACACACACAGGTACCATGGGGAACAAAAGTAACCACCTTTTCAGATGGAAAGACAGTGTCAGTATGACTTCAGAAATGATTTGAGGTTCTACAGCCGAGAGATACATAAATAAGATACATTTTTGTAACTACTGAGTTTAGTGTCATTTTAACATAATTTGCAACCAAGCGGCTGATTTTCTACTTCTGATTTCTTATTGACTCCTTCTGTATACCATTTTGTGCCTCTTATGTGCCAGATTGGCTTTACAAATGAGAGGTAGACTGGGTGGAGAAATTTACTATATATGGAAATCACAATACTTGTAATAATTTACATCATAAAATCACTCCAGCTTAAAAAAATGGAGTAAAGGAAAAGATGAGACTCATTGTCGCCTGTATGACAGAGACTAATAGAACAGTTTAACAAAAACAAGCAGTGTATACATTAGTCATAATATAAGAGCAATCACAGAACATTCATACTGCTTAGACGTCACTGGAGGCATTTACTTGGTTTAATCAGCAAGGAGGAAACTTGTAAAATACAACATAATTCTCCATGTTTAGAAAACTTTGCAGTCAACTAAATGTAAGACCTCCAAATGTTATTTAAAAATACATCTGCCTTTAAAATAATAATGAGTGTATCTGAATCCTTTTAAGCTGTATTAAGGCTATGCAAACCCTATGTGATCTCGTTAGATTCAATTGTTGCTGTCGGTTTTCACATACAGCTGTCACATGCTACTTTCAGCTCCTTCTTTATAGCTGGCTGCATATAGTTGACGGAGCGTTGAAGGATAGAAGTGGCCTCCACCTCTGTGGTATTGGTGGTGGTGGTTGATGGGTCCCTGCGAAGAGTCGGGGCACAGGACGGGAACAGCTCTCTGCGGAAGGCGATCTCTCTGTGCTCCTGTAGGCAACAAGAAAAGCACACCTTCTTCTCCAACCTCCTGAGGAAAACGTTGTTGGTCCTGAAGAAGAGATACACATAGGGATTCACTGCGCTATTGGTCACCACAAAGATGCCCAGCACAGCCATGACCTCCTCATCCAGACCAGTAATGGTGCCACATGCCACCTTCATCTCCACAATGAAGTAAGGCAGCCCGCATACAATGAAGAGTATGATGATGACCAGGGTCATTTTGAGGGTCTTTATCTTAGCTCTTGGGATGCAGCTGTTGGTGGCTTCAAGTTTGATTGGTCTCTTGGTGACTTCACAAGAATCATTGAAGTGTTTAGGGTTCTTGCAGTTCTTCCCCTTTCTCCAGATAATCCATAGGATGCGGCTGTAGGCTACAACCAGGATACAGAAAGGTAAGAAAAAGACAGTGACGGAGCTGTAGATGATATAGACCTGAAAATGCCATTTAGGTAACTGCCAGAAGACGTTGCGGCACCTGGGACCTTCCTTGGTTTGCGCAGCTTTGAAGACAAAAGCTTGGGGCACCGACAGGAGCAGAGCCAGCACCCAGCACATGGCAGTAAAAAATCGGGTGGGCAGAGGTGTGCCTAATGGGTTTGTAATGACATGGTGTCTTTCCAGGGCTAATATGGCAATTATATTGGAGGAGGCAATGAGTCCAGAAACCTGAAACACTTTAAAGATCCGACAAGCCACATCCCCAGCCAGCCACTGATCCTCCAACAATTCCCATACGATCTGGGAGAAAAGAGTGATCAGGGAGACATAGAGGTCGGCTAGTGTCAGGTGGGTGATCAGAAAGTTGATCTTTCTCTTCTTGTCCTTGCCACTCCAGATCTTATACAGCACCAGTGAATTGCCCACCAGTGCCACGGTGAATATGACAGCCATTGCGATGATCCGGATCTGCCTGTTGTATGGGGGTGACTCCACAACTTGGCTTTGGTTGGTGAAAGAAACGTTTGTGGCTGCCTGGGCAGGGGTCACTTTGTGGTTAGAGATAGAGAGGTTACCCAGAGAAAAACTCCCATACAGGAAAAATTCATCCATGGCACTAGATCAATGAAAAGCGACAACCTAGAGAGTGTCGGAGAGGTGACTGCTGACCACTGGAAGTGTGGTGCTGAAATCCCTAGCAGAGGAGCTACGAGCTGGCACACAGGTGATGAGAACTAGTCCATGGTGACTTGTTGCCAGGCACTTTTAGAATACTCCCAGAGCTTAAAGCTTTTCATATGTCTTTGTCATCTGACGCTCACAGGTGGGTGGTCTAGACATGCCCCGAAAAAACACCTTCCTCATATATTATACATGTACTGAGGACCACATCAATCGCTTTTCTGCATCTCTGCAGACTTTTGATGTGATTCGTGAATCTCACTTTTCTGCTGATGTGTTGTCATTTTGTTTTACTTCTACCTTTCTTTTATTGCGATAATATAATGGTAGCTGTATTAAAGTGGTTGCATCTGTTATGACCTATGGGTAACAAAATTGTTGAGAAAGCATAGCCAGTGTTAAATGACCTGAGCTGTTATGTCACAAATAGGTTTCATTCATGTAAACAGGTGAGTGAGTTGAAGTGCTGGAATTATTAAAGCTTTTTGACAGGTGACTGCTATGTGAGCATTGGAGAAAAGTCAAATGATTAAAGACATCTTGATGTCTAAAGATATCCTCCCTGAAATGTTAACAATGATGGAAAAACATTTTAGTGGTTGTTGGTGCAGCTCAACAGATGAATGAGCTAGTGGCTCTTCAGGGTCCTAAGGACATGCAAACAAAAAGCCTCTCCTCCTTTATCTGACTCTGAACAAGTGCTTCTTTGTGACAGTGACAACGGACAATGCCAATAAAGACCAAGCGCCACACAGAAAAAGTCTTTACCTACTAACCGAAGACATAACAGTTTTCTCTTTCTTTCACC